GGTTGTTGCTGAACCCTTTGACCGTGCACCGTTCGTTGGACATTTGAAGGCCTTAATGATGTCGGAATTTGATGACCTTGGGCTCGTTGGATTCGTCTCGTCGAGCCGCTCGATTCGAGTATAAGATCGTCAAAATCGGAGACCGTTTGGTAACTCAAATTGCTGATTGAACCTTCCAACAGCGCTTTGATCCCTTGATTCGGACTCATTTGGGCTTGGATTAGGTTGATCTTGGAATCGTTGGGTTCGTATTTTCGAGACGCTCAGTTTGACTATAAGCTCGCTGAAATCGGAGTTCATATGCTCCCAAAATTAATTTTTGAAGTTTCCGAACTGATTTTGCCTCGAGATTCGTGCCCAATCAAGATAATTTTGTGATGACGTATCAATTGTAATTCCTGTCATTTAGCTAAAAGCAAACAATTAACTTTCTTAGCTTCTGTTTCGCATACTAGTAAATCGTTTCAATTAGTTCATTCTGATGTATGGGGTCCTTCCCCGACTACATCGGTTCAAGGTTACCGTTACTTTGTCTCGTTTATCGATGATTACACAAAATATTGTTGGGTTTTTCCTATTTTTCAGAAATTTGCTATTACCTCTGTGTTTATTAATTTTCATAAAATGATTGCTTGTCAATTTGATGCCCGGTTATGTACCATTCGAACGGATGGCGGAGGTGAGTACCTCAATAATAATTTTAAAGCCTACTGCACCAAATGGGGCATCAAGCATGAGTATTCTTGCCCATATACTCCGGCTCAAAATGGTATAGCCAAGCGGAAAAATCAGCATCTATTAGAAATGGTTCGTAGTTTACTCATTCATTCAAATGTTCCTCCATCTATGTGGGTTGATGCTATACATACGTCTGTTTATTTAATAATTCGCTTGCCCATTGTTTCATTAAATCATAGCACCCCTTATGAAAAGTTATTTGGAAAATTGCCAGAATACAAGCACCTAAAAGTTTTTGGTTGTTTATGTTATCCGTGGTTACGTCCTTACGCAAAGTCCAAACTTTCTGCTATGTCTTTACCATGTGTATTTATTGGCTATGCTACTAATCAAAAAGGTTATAGGTGTTTGG